GTGTGCGCGCGCGTGTGCACGCACATGCACCCAGGATCCTGTGTTTTTCTCTCATGCATGCTCTCTATCATGGATAAATAAAATAAACTTAAAAAAAAATGTATCGCAAGTGATTTTCTTTTCTTTTTAAGTCAGGAAGATCCCGGTATTTGTACTTTGTATAGGAAGGACAAAGTACAGCATCCTAGTTAGTCAGGCACTCTGGGGCTGGCTCTATGGCCAGGTGGTTAAGGCAGCTAGATGCCACACGGCCAGCTGCACAGTTCAAGTCCCAGACCCAGATGCTTGAAAACCACACTGGGTTCATGTGCACATGTGCCCAAAATCCTGAAAGGAGAAAGTGAAGGAACTGTAGCAGGTTATTCCCCATGGGGGGAGCCCCACGCGCTCTGAGTCCGCATAATTCAGAGCTGTTCCCAGACTTGAGGCCAAGGGGGCCTGCCCTGTCCTCTCCCCTCAACAACAAAACAGAACGGACCCAGCCACCAGGTACTGCGCTGTGACAGAACGTTTGTGATGGACGTTTGGCAGTGAAACAACCAAACCTGAGGTCACTTTCTCACGTGGCAGCTGTCACCAGGGTCGAAAACTAAGTAATAGGAAAGTGAGACTCTCGGCTGAAGCGTCTCTGTCCTGGGGTTTCAGTGAAGAGTAAACAAAACAAAACAAACACTGGGCCCTGTTCTTAGTAAGGACAGTGCGGAGTGGTGACGGTGACTAAAAGGTGGGACTTAGAGAGGCTCTTGAGGGCCGTGTCTCAGCTGGCGCTGACGTCCGCTCCCTCCAGGACCCTCCGTGACTCGGTTTTCACCCAGCGGTCGGGCTGCACGACGCTGTTCTGCTCAACAGACGGCACGTATGACATGCGCCCATGTGAGTTTAGCAGGCCGTGCCGTGTGAGCCAAGTGTGAGCAGGCAATACCGTTAAGAACACACTATGATGTCTGCACAACAGCGAGATCACCTAACAGCACACTTCCCGGAACCAGCCCTGCTCTAGCGTATGACCGTAATTCCTCTGTGTACCACACGCTACCCCAGGCTCCCTTGTCAAATGCAGAAAGACACTAGACGAAGACATCTCTTCTCTCTTGGGCAAAGGGGTAGTTTCTGCTCAGAATTAGGCCACTCGGAAAATTAACAAGCAGGCATGAACACTGTACACTCGCATGCCACCAAAGTCTGCATCTTAAGGCCCAGCCTGGTGGCATAGACACAAGCAAACTGAAGTGCCTCACTGTAAGCCACCCGGCCAACCACGGATTTGGGTTCTCAGGTTGGCCTGAAGACATGCCTGTGTGTGTG